CTCTGGGAGGGGCCATTCACTGTCCACCTGTGCCTTTTTTTCTCAAGTCGGCCCCTGTTCTTTAGCTCTTCTCTTCATCTGGCAACTCTGCACATGTGCACACTGGGAACAGGCTCCAGCTGGTCTTCTGCCTCACTGATGTCTGACTCTGAAGGCAGCTGATAACTGTCAGACGGGCCTGGCCCCCTCTCTGCCTCCAACACAGAGCCCTCATCAGAGCCTTCCCCAGACTCCAGGACTGGCCCATGTTCCTCTCCAACCTCCTCACTGTCCAAATCTGCTGCCAGCTCTTCTGGAGGGCCACAACACATGACAAAAGAAAATCCAATTTTAAAATGGGAAAGCTAGCAATTGGAAGCACTATCAGGGTTTATCTGTGTATGTTAAGAGGTAAGAAAAAAAAACACCACTTCATTCTATCCCCAAGATACTAATATAACTTGTACAAGATAAACATCATTGCACAGTGGATTCCTAAGGGAAGAATCCCCAACTTGCTTGCTCAAACATTTTCTCAGCTGATGTTGGAAGGCCGTTAAGGGGTTTTAGACTTGGACACTGTTTTAAATTTAAACCTTTTTTCCATTGCGATTTAATTAGCTGATGGAGGAAGTGCCGAGCAGACAAAAATCTAATCCTGCCGGTGTAACACCAGGAAGCTAAGATTACCGAACTGGGTCACAGTGCTTTAGGGGGCAAAAAATCTATGTAATGAAATGGGGTATGCGTTTATTCTTCGATTATTTATTAAAGTAGGAGATGGAGGGGAGGGAGGCCATAGGATTTTGATTCCCATTGATTGACTGCATCTGGCTTTTTTTTTGTAGAATTTCACAAGCTAAAGAAAGCATGTTTCCTCCTTTAGGGAGCCCAGAGATTAAACTAGTTAAGCCGAGAAATAAAACCGTGAGGGAAAGGGAGCTACAAGATGTTATTATGAGCTAATGTAATTAGAGATAGGAGCTTACGACAATGGAACCTTTCTAATGGATGGAACCTTGATCCCTAAAGCCATTTCACAGTTGAGAAAAAAAACTCAGTGGTAGTTCTTTCATGGTTATTGCTGTCACTTTAAGCAGTTTTTCTTCTTCTTGTTCTCCTAAGTTGGGTTCGGTTCAGTGGTGGGTTTCAAAAATTGTTCGAACCTACTCTGTGGGTGTGGCCTCCTTTGTGGGAGTGGCTTTCTGCCCATGTGACCGTATGGGAGTGGCTTGCCGCCCATGTGACCTGATATGAAGATGCCGACGACACTTGTCAGAACCACCTTAAATTACCTCACACACAGCCCTGGCATGCATAAGAATAGGATGTAAACTTGCTTTTTAAAAGGCATCTTTGGTTTGCGTTAAAACAACTTCAACACACGCAATGTTCTGATTGCACCACAAACACAGTAGTCATCCTTACCTTTCACAGAGGCACTGAGTTTTATAAATAGGAGCATGATAGTGTAGAATAATCATATCCAAGGACCAGTGGTGGGTTTCAAAAAATTTTGGAACCTCTTTTGTGGGTGTGGCCTGCTTTCCGGGTCCACTGGTGGAACCTCTTCTAACCGGTTCGGTAGATTTGACGAACCAGTTCTTCCGAATAAGTGTGAACTGGTAGGTTCTCTGGTTCAGTTTGGCAATAAACATTGTTTGAGGCTGTGAATGAATGAAGATAACAATGCAACGGTAGCCATTATGAAAAAGTTTGATAGAATCAACAACGAATCCCCATTTTAATTGCTAACTCACTTAACTAAAACTTAACTAACTTAACAAATTCCTTACTTTGTTTCTTTTTTTAAAAAAAGGAAAAAGGCTTTAATTTGAGCAACGGAGACCTGATTACAGTAGAACCTTTCTTGCTGATTTATTCTCTATTCCCACCCAATGCTTCAAGGATTAGAAACAATGTTTTTTTTTGCATCTTGAACTCTTTTTTTTAGAAGAGATGACATTTTAAAAAAACAATAAATAAGAGACATGCACCATCACTATCAGTAAACTTCAAGTCCCAAACATCTTTAAAGCATCTAGCAGGTTGTTGTTTTTTTTTAAAAAAAAAAAGTTTTGCTGAAAGAATATTTCAGAAAATGCTTGGATCATGGCTAAAAATCATATAAACTTGGTACACAGATGAGTTGCACCGTATTAGTTAGTCACTTTTAAGTGAGTTAGCTGTGAATTACCTGCTGTGAACTACGCAGCATCTTTTGAATGATTTACATATAGAGCAAAATGGCTTTTCCACAAGTTGGTGTTTTGGAGATATAACAGCAATACCACTTTGACTTATATACCCCTTCACAGTGCTTTACAGCCCTCTCTCAGTGGTTTACAGAATCAGCATCTTGTCCCCCACAATCTGGGTCTTCAATTTACCAACCTTGGAACGATGGAAGGCTGAGTCAACCTTGCGCCAGTGAGAATCGAACTGCCAAACTGCTGGCAGCCAGCAATGGCATCAGCACTTATATACCGCTTCACAGTGCTTCACAGCCTTCTCTAAGCAGTTTATAGAGTCAGCCTATTACCCCTAACAAGCTGGGTCCTCAGGATGGAAGGTTGAGGCAACCTGGTGAGATTCGAACTACCAAATTGCAGGCAGCCGTCAGGCAGCAGAAGTAACCTACAGTAATGCAGTCTAACCACTGCACCACTGCAGACTTGTAATGATACATTACACATCCCACCGACTCTGACAACATGATAATTCTGAATATTATTACTTTGAGAAAGCTTCAGTGTCATTTTCACAGAACTCTTCAGATGCATCCTGTAGGTATGGCTTTATTCCATTGATGTAGATGAAAGCACAGTTGAAAAAAAAAAGCGCTATGTGACACCAGTTAATGTCGAACTGGTCTGCAATAAGACAATGAAATAAAACTGTGAGGTTTTCTTTGCTTCTGAGAACTGCAGGATGAAATGTGTTGGGTCTATTAGACTTCAAAAACCGTTCACCCGAGACCTGAAACAGATTCAGCCAAAGTAGCAGATGGCTTCCTATCTCATATCTTCTAAGGCTTTTATAATTTCTCAACGTTTTAGAAGGTCACAACCCAATTTCTGTTCTTGAAAGGAGCTGGTGACGGTGAGAATCTTTTGAAGAATGTTGTTCTGCTTCCCAGACAGTGTATGGTCTCTTTTGTTTCTTAGTCAAGTGGGCTTAGTAAGACGAAGAAGCAGAGAATGCTATGGATCGACTGTTTTTTTTGGATCTTTCAAAAATAGGAGTGAAGTTTTAATCGAAGGGACGTAGAATAATTTCTGATGATTGCACCACATTATTCTGGCTATCTTGCAAATCCTATCCTCTCTCCATGGTGAATTCTTCAACCCGACAGCATCAGCTCCCAGGATTTCCAGCTGAAGTGGAAATACAGAGGGAAACAAATTGAGCAGGTTAGAGGTTGTTACACTAAATACCAGCACTAGATATCAAGAACTGATAACTTATGAAGACAAAACTTCCCATTTCATCTGTCATTAAGCTCTTTGGAAACTAGAACTTCTAAGGATTTCTAAGCCATTATTACCTGCAAAAAACCTGTTTCTTAGGACTTAACTGTGCTGTCTAGTTATCCCATAATCAGATTGGGACAGCATTTATTTTCTGGGAGCAGAAATGGATGAACTCAATCTTTAGGTACCTCCTTCCAACTGCAAATTTGATATCCATTTTTTAAAAATCCTCATGATATTTGAAAGGGTTTATCCTTACACCCTTTGGAAAGCATTTCTCCATTTTTGTTTTTGTTAGGAATTTGAGGAAACAAAGAGTACAGTCACCATGTGCTTTACTGCTCAACTATTTAATTGCAATCAGAAACAGGAAACTCTGCTTAGAACAAAAGAGCATAGGGTATGCACAATAGATCCAAGCTTGTAAATTCTGCCCTCTGCTGGCTGAATGCTACACAGTTTTGTCTTGTGAGGGCCATTAGGGTGTAGACATTTTGGTGAGGTACCGATGTTTAGTACTGTAAGGAGCCTCAGACCGTTCCTGAGTAAAGGAGTGGAACATCTGCCAGTTTGAACTGAGGTAACAGAATGTGAGGCAACTGACAGTTGGAAAAGAGTTCTTTTCAGGTGGGGAGGGGGAGTAGAATGTCTTTAGCATCAGAGCGTGTTAATATAATGCAACTGGTAGTTGGAATAGAGTTCTTTTCAGGTGGGGAGGGGGAGGAGAATGTCTAACCTTAGCCTCAGACCATGTTAATATGAATCAACTGGCAGTTGGAACAGTTCTTTTTAGGTGGGGAGGGGGAGTAGAACTCAGTAGCATTGGAGTGTGTTAATTACTGTATAACCGATGCTAATGATCTGATGGTCATTTTGAAAAATTCTTTTTTAGTGAGCAACTAGAAGCCAAGAGGAACATACATACCAAATTTCAAATTTGTAAACTTTACGGTTCTGGGGATTTCATGATGAGAGTGGTACTTGCCTTATAAAGATAGATAGATAGATAGATAGATAGATAGATAGATAGATAGATAGATAGATAGATAGATAGATAGATAGATAGATAGATAGATGGATGATAGATAGATTTATTTAGCCATCAGCCAAGGTAAAAACAACAAAACTCCCACAATAAACAAATAAGCTCAACAGATTTTT